TGCCATCAATAATTATACGGAGTAGAAATTGACATGTTATGTATTTCCATCCGTCTCTCTCACTCGAGGCTCTCATGAATGAGCCGCTGTTGTACATTGTGTTGTTAGTAGCCCAGGTATTCAGAAAGTCTATGAATCTTGGCGTCTTCAGTTGTTCATCCCTTCGATTTTTTCCCGGCTTACTTAATTATCCCCACTTTTCTGTACACACGTGCCTCTTAAAGCGTCACCTGTGGTTTCCTCATTGCCTCGATGAACTATCGATTCATGTTTGCCATTACAAGCCCTTCTTAGTTTATCTCCTTTTCTGTCCATATTTTCAGTTCTCTGAGTGTGAAACGTATTATTATTATTATTATTGCTTCTATTTCTTTCTATGTTGTTGTCGATTCTCCAGCACTCTCTACTCTTTATAAATCTAAGAGAGTTTTTTTCGAAATTTGCTACAGTCCATTGTTGATGAAAATCAACTTATTTTTGTAATCGAGGTGGAAAGTAATATTTTATCTAGCTTCACCTTCACCTTCACCTATCCCGTAGACTGGATGTCCGTCGAGGCGCTTTTGAAGATTTGGCCACCAGCTTCCTCCACTCCTTCCGGTCTTCAGCTTTCCTGAGCGTGTCTTTGAGTTCCAGGCCTGTATATTCCTTGATTTTGTCCCCCCAACTTTCTTCGGTCTGCCTTTGCTCCTTTTTCCCTTGACGCTGCTTTGCAGGATCATCTTGGCAAGGCCTGGTGAACGGGTGATGTGTTCATACATCTGGCTATAGTAAGAAAATAAATACCCGAATCCCGTTCATGTGCAGTTGACGGGTTCTCTTGTGTGGTGTGCTTTTTTTTTACCTAACAAACACTTGTCATCCTTATCTCTCTTTCTTTCTCAACAAACATTTTTCGTCCTTGTCTCTCCTTCTTACTTTTTGGGCATGTGTTTTTCTCGAGTAATATCTCTAATCTTTGGTGTTTATATGACCTACTTGTGTTACAAGGGCTGTAAGACTCCTACTAAAACTAAAGCTAAATAATCCCGGGTCTTTTCCCTTGATTTTGTGAGAAACAAATGGGAGCGGGCGTTTCTTCTTTTTCTGGGTTTTTAAAAAATTTAATCCGCTTGTTTGGCTTGAAGGAAAAAAGCTCTGCCGATGATTATGGTCGACAATACCCGCAAAAGTAGACGGAACTTTGTTTTGAAAAAGAAAAGCAAAATATAAAAAAACAATCCTCAGTTAAGCTGACAAATGACCCTTTATGTACTAACAAGTATCAAACGTCCTTGATCATTTGACAAGCGTCTATACTGTAACGATCAGGCACTTGGCCATCGCACGCAGAAAACATGAGTTCGATTCCCGTGTGGTGAAAATTTTCATCGAGTGTCTGGGTCTTTCTACTGAGATGTTGTATCCCTCCCAGCCCAAGATGGCCCTGAAAGAAAGGGCTGAAGCCTGCCTCTGAAAATACTATAAATCATGTCGATTGGGAGCGTAAAAACGTCGACATTTTTCTTATCGACCATATTATTTTGGTGAAATCCCGGTTAACTTAAATACTGTCATCGGGGACAAAGCGTCTGGAAAAGAATAATCAGAAACACTCTCGTCTTCCCGTGAAGTATACAGTGCAAACAGGTCCAAATTGAAACTTAGTAAAATCAAGAGATTTCTCTGTTGATAAAATCTGAAAGTCTACTTCAAAAACATGTTAGGCCTTAATAGTATAGTGGCTCAATATCGGCATTACGAATCTTCCTTACACATGTAAAGCGTGGCGTAAAGAGGTACAAATTAGCGTGCCCAAAGGACTATCTACTTTTTTGGACGCGCCCTTGTCTGCTTATTATCTACCAATCGTCTTGTTTCTGAATTTTAATTTGGTTTTGTTTTTTCGTTTGTTGGTTTCGTTTGTTTTTTGTTGTTGTTGTTGTTTTTTGTTTTATTTTTTCACGCAACCTATCTCATCTCGAAGTAAAATGTTAAAGGGATTTTACCCTTGCTTTTACACTGAAGCGTTACATTTTTTAAAAATCCAACGTTGACGTCAGCGTTGGAAGAGTCAATAATTTATACTTTAGTTTTTACTTTTGGATTTTTGTGAGAACGATAATGGCCCTGCTGCATTCTCTCTCTCTCTCTCTCTCTCTCTCTCTCTCTCTCTCTCTCTCTCTCTCTCTCTCTCTCTCTTCTTCTCTCCTTTTCCCCCCTCCCTCCTCTCCAACTCTTTTCGCTCTCTTTCTCTCTCTCTCTCTCTGTCTCTCTCTCTTTCTCTCTCTCTGTCTCTCTCTCTTTCTCTCTGTCTCTCTCTCTCTCTCTCTCTCTCTCTCTCT